GCAGGAATGAGCTGGAATGGCTGGGAAGAGTCCCCGGCTCCGGAACCACAGGCAAGACACCCCGACAGCTCCAAACTGGCTCTGCCACGGGGCTTCTCCTCCAGCCCCCACCAAAATCACCCCAATGGCAGCTTTGGTCTTCATTCAGTTGGTTCTTTTCTCACTTCCATTTAAAACACAGTATTACTTCAATTTACTCCACATTTACTCTGCGTGCTCAACGAGTGGGGGTCTTAATTCAGGAGGGTTGTCCCAACACTTGGAGGTGTGGGGTTTTTTGTATTATAATTATATTAAAATAAGGATATAATTATATTCAAATGAGGATCGATCACTTTTGGACAGTGCTAATCACTAACTGAGCTGACAGCTCCAAACATCCTGATTATTTCCGTCTTCAAGGGTAAATCTAACAAACCTTAGGTGATTAAAAAGTTTTTCTCAACAGTCCCAAGGGCAGTCATCCTATTCTACACAGAGACCACATGTTTGTTACATTAGCTTCTAATTTAACTTGCAAGAGCTTTGTCATGCTAAAGCAACGTCAGGATCAGCTAAAAATGTCCTGCCCCGGTGACGGGTGGTGTTAGATGTGACACAGCTGCAGTTCTGTCTCCTTTTTGCCCCAAAAGCTTCTGCTCAGTCAGATTTCCAACGGCGTGGCTGCGGGGACCATGGTGGTTTTTTCTGCCTTCGGGAAGCCGCTGAATTTACCCAGGGGGATGTAGGAGGAGAAGGGGATGGAGAGAATCCCGCAGCTCCCGCCAGCATCCCCGGGGCTCAGCGATGGGCTTTGCTCGTGAAGCTTGGTCCGGCTATTTGCACAAAATGCGGGTGCTGGGGTCTGCTTTCGTGATGCGGCCGAAGGAAGGGACTTGAATGTGGAGGGACTTTGGTATGAAACCCTTGGAAACAGCTCTGCCCTGACCGACAGTGCTGAAGCTGGGATTGTTCATGGGACAAATCCGGCATCTTTGGGAGGCAATTTTAAGCATTCGCAGTGTGGTTTAGAGCAGCCGAAGGCTACGGCAGCAAAGAACCAGGTGGTGAGATGGGAAGAGAAGCCAGAAGCGCTTCCCCATCGCAAGGGCTCCATGGCGTAGGAGAGGCTGGGCTCTCCTCGGGATCTGGGATTACCTCCGGAGAAGCTCCAGCGGAGGCAACCACGAGCCTCACTTCACAACCCGCCGTCGCTGTTAATTGCGCAAAACGTACTGGCTCTGACCTCAAGCCCTTCGCAGGCGGTGCGGTGGCTGCGAGGAGCTGGGGGTCCCCGTGAACCTGCCCAAAGGACAGCACGGCCAGACCAGAGCATCTCCGAGGATGCTGCTGTCCCAGGAGATGCTCTGCTCAGCCCTGAGCAGGAGCCGTGAGCCCCAGGAGGGTTTAACAGCACCCAGGTTGAGCTCAGGAGCCGCAGCCCGGAGCGGGTGGGCTACCGAAGGGGTGGGATCATGTCACAACAACCACAAGTGGTCCCAAGATTGAGGAGGAGGACAATGTGCCACTGGTGAAGCGCCGAGAGGGCTGCACCTCACTGTAACAGCCCCTGGGAGGGGGGGCACAGCACCCCAAAAGTTGGGATCTAATAGAGTCTATTAGATCTCATAGATCTAAGGGGTATTAGTAATAATTAATCTGGGCTATAGGTGCTAATATCACTGCAACCTGGCCAAAAACAACTGTTCATTGTCCTCCAATGGGGCTGTCAAAGCCTGCGCTAGGCTGACACCAGTGCTGATTCTTGGCTGTGGTGCGAAGGGATGCACCCTTGGGACCAGGGGAGGTTTGGCGATGATCCCCGTGCTCTTCCCAGAAGAGGAGTCGCTTCTGAGAA